ATACTTTTATATAAATTTAAAAAAAAAAAAAAATATTTAAGTAAAATTTCATTGATACATGTCAATTATATTAGTAACTGAAGCTGTAATAAAACAAATTTTTTAAATATAATTTTCAGTTTCTTGCAATTATAAAATACACACTACATTTAAATAAATATAGTATTTTTAAAAAAAATTAAAGATATAGACACATGTCTTGTTCAAAATGAGTAGGAAGATATATGACTACAAAACTTGAAATAAATTTTTTTTTCGCAATAATTTGCAATCTTATATGTTCTTATTTTGATACAAAATATTTCACTTTTTCTTTTAAGTCTTAAGAAATTCTTTATTTAATTCTATTCTTCTTTTAGTATGTCATTCTCTTGCTGTTATGACAAATATCTTAAATAATTACAAATATACTGTTGATTTCTTTAATCATTGGATTGGACACATTCAGTTATTGAGATATTTATCTTATACTGCCTGAATTATCACAGTTGTATTAATCAAATTATATTACAATTTATCAGAGTTAATATTATCTTTATTGATATAAAACTGATGTAAAGTGAACATTTTTAAGAATTTTTCCAATAAATTATGAATTACATTTGAAGATGGCGCGTTAAGGAGGATTAATTAGACTTATTATTACTTAATATTATATGTAAGACTTTAATCAATTAAATTCTGATTTGATAAAATCGAAATTAATATTCAGATCTGAAGACAGAACAGTCTGTTGTAAAAAAATACCGCAGTAAATATTCGGGTATCTCTGTCTCTCTTTCTCTTTCTTGCATGTTCGACGTGTCAGAGTGTTAACCCTTAGCCTCCGACGTCGGCGTTCCTTGTCAAGCATTCTATCTCGAAAACAATTCTTTGTACGCTCAATTTCATAGTAGGAATTATTTGCGAATACTTCTGTTAAATTATTACGCTCGACTTCACAGTAGCGTACGAAGTTCGTCACTATTTAGGTAAATAGAATGGTTTTGCCAAAGTATTTAAAAATTTAGTTAAGTATAAATTTAAAAATAATTTTGTTAGAGACAATTTATAGAGATATTGAAGAAGACATAAAAATAATTATGTAAAATGCTCAAGCCCTATTGCTAAAATATCAAAACTTTTTACAACATTGCCCATCATGCTTAAGGATATGTATCAAATTATTTTGATGATCTGACACAAAATTATTTTCAGGTCTGTATTTAGCTAAATTTTTATGTACTTTGAACAAAATCGCTCCTTTCATAATATAATTGTAGTTCAAATTGAAATGTCAGTAAGATAAAGCCCGCTTGAAGTAGAGCAAACAATACAATTTCGTTACTTAATTATTGTTCAATGACTGGAAATTTTATTCACAAAGGCGCTAGTTTTAGCTTTTTATAAAAATATTGATACTCTATTATTTAAAAAAAAAATAAATAAATAAAAATTGTCTTTAAATTGTCTTTAAACCGCAAAGATTATAGATTTATGTACCAAATTGTTGAAAGACACTTCGTAGTTGTTTAATTTTAAGCGACAGACCGATTAATAAAATATTTGCGCAAACTATGATTTTTTTTTTTTTATAATGCAATGAGTGTTTGGAAATCAGCTTATATAGAAATATATATCGCGGAAATTCGTTTTCACATGTGAGGAAATGATTTCTCCTTTCCTGGCTACCAAGAATAGCTAAATTCTTACGGTACCGTGGAAGTGTTTATATCTATCTTTCTCTCTCTTTCTCTTTTGCTCTCCGTGCATCGTCGACCGCAGAAGGTGTTCTGGGCTTCGTCAGGGCAAGAGTTTACAAAGCGTTGCCGATTCACCTACCCCGCCCTCTTTCGCACCTATTCCGGTATAGCACGAGCCTACCCTCGATTTTTTCCATTCGCAAAAAGCACAAAAGAATCGTATTTTTACTTGTCGCGAGAAGAAAAGAATATATCAATGTTTAAAAAAATTGCTCAATAAATATCCCGAATTATAATAAATGACATCATTAAAAATATTACAATCGTTATATAATACATAACGCTATATTGAGAAGTATTTATAAAGTGTATATATATTTATATATATATAATATATTTAAATAAATATACGATAAGTGCAATGAAAATCAATTAAAAAATAGATCAATGACAATCTGTTTCATCAGGAAAATCAAAGAGCACTAATCTTTGTCGATTTAGGAAATTAGAGAGAAGCGCTTTCGCAAATGATTAATCGCTAATTCAAAGTAATGGTTTGAGCAGACTGATAAGATCGAAACAAAGATCTCTGAGCGCCGTGAAACTTCACGGATACGCAGTAATCACATCACCAGATGCGAGGCACTCCTGATAGTTCATCAGAAGATTTATCTGACTTTTTCATATATTTCAATCAAGTCGACTTATCGCTCCCATGATCGTCTATATCAATCTATTTGTTGATTTGTTCCCAATAATGATAATTATGCAAACGTTTATTTTAATATTTTAACAAAATACTTTTTTGTTTAAACACAGGAGTGTATAAAATGTTCATTCGTATTACTCTTAAATCATGTAGAATTATTTATTAGATCAGATCAATCATTGTTAGTATAATTGAATTGGTCACTGCGAAAATCAGGAATGATCTTTCCAATATGAGAAAAGAGAAAGATATTTAACAAAAAATATCGTTACGTGGGAAGATTTTCGTGGCGTACATTCGGCTCGACAGATGCAAGTACTCTTATATCGTATGTCTACCAAATCGCGGTAAAAAAGTATGAAGCGGGCGTTTGTTTGCTTTGACAAGTATTAAAAGTATGATGGTGCACGTAGTCAGCATAGGACGAGTGTGACTCGACCACTTAGATCTCACTGAAAAACCACGACACATCCATGTGTAGAGTTGCTCTCCCTAATTACGCGCCTCGAATAAGATGTACTCATTGCACATACGTGTGATATATGTGTATGTGTGTCCCAAAAAGACGCGCCCACAATTGCGAAATTAATTTGCATCTAATTTAATGACTTGCAAAGGCAACACGTTATATTTCAACAATCTTACCAGATATAATGATATAAAATTAAAGAAAGAGACAAAAAATGAATACTTTTAAAAAATTTAGATAAAACTTTACACGGATATATTGCGATTATAATTATAAATATTTTTTTTTATCTTGACGATCTTAAATACATAAAAAAAATATTATTAGTAATTTGCATATATAAATTAGATAAAAATCATTCAATTTTCTTCAACTATTCAATTAATATCATTTCAACAGTATAAAAACTATTACGCTATTTAACTATAATAAAGACAAGTAATTGACATCGACAGTAAATAATTGATATAAATATTAATAAAAATAAAAAATATAATGATAAAACATAACAAAACAATAATATACAAAGTATATTAACTGTAAATTAACTCAAAATTTATATATTCCGATTATAAAAAGCATTGATTCATGACGTGTAATTAAACTAAACTAAACTACAAAGTTTCACTTTTTTATTTGTGCGCGTTTTCTTACAATAACAAGCACAAACTATACAAGAATAATATATTAATATTAATAACATGATATACATAATAAGTGTATACGGAATTTTATATCAGCACATTTCTGAAGACACGACGCGATTTTAAGATAATGCCGGGTTCGCTCAACCGATCCGATGCTTTTATAGAGAAAGTGCAAAGAATGCGAACTCATTGATCGCTGAATTAAGTCGGCAATCGACAAGTTAAATTCAAGACTAATCGTCGTTCGTTCAATCGGATGTCAGGCAGCCACAGTCATTTATTACACCACGTGGGGTATAAAAAATACGCACACGAGAAAAACAGGATTTGTAAAAAGATATATATGTATGTATACATATATACATGTCATTTATAATTACGTCAAGTTGATTTCGTAAATCTCCGAAATAAATATGAAACTTGAATTATATTATAATTTAATATATTTTTTTTTTTAATTATGTCTTTAAATAAAATTTAAATCATTTTAATAGAAAAGATAATATTGTGACACAAAAAAATTTGTTTAAATATAGAATTTGGGTGAGTGTAAAATATTTATTTTAATACAATTTAAGAAATATAAGGGAACGATTTTGCTAAAATTTAGCTCTAATTACAGATCTGAAAATAATTTTGTTGAATCATCAGCAGTAAATAATAAAAATAATATTTACATAGGAATCTCAAGTACGATAGCAATGAAACAAAAATTTTAATTTTAACATTCCAGCAACTAGTTTAAATTTTATAATTATTTTAATAATTCAACAAAATTATCTTTAGACCTGTAGCTAGTTAAATTTTTAGATACTTCATCCAAATCTTCCTTTCTGCAAAAATTATATTATTTAAAACGTTTTGATGCCTCATTTTACGATTATCATCTGTTGCAATAATCCAATATAATATTGGAAGTATTTTTTAATTAATAATGCTATTAATGAGAGAGAGAGAGAGAGAGAGAGAGAGAGAGAGCAAAAAAAAGGATTTATATACATTAATTATATAAAACCGTATCTTTCTCTATTAATAAAATATATATATAAAATTCTACAAAATAAAATCAAAAGATTATAGTCATTTTGTGTACGATAAAATGAAATTCATTCGTAAATTAGAATAAAATATGTTCCTATTTTTGAGCAAAAAAATCGATGTAACATCCATTCATTGAAACGAAAGAATTAATGAAGGCCATCAACGTTTTTTTTTTCCGAGGACGAGGATAGAAATCACCCTGTGCGTGGGTGTACTGTTCCAGGATTTACGCGCGAATCCAGGAACCTCATTGCGTATGTAGGACAGACAGTCAGACTTGAAATAAAGATGAATCGTTTCTCGCCGGCAATCGTGATTGGTCTCGGGGGTGTGAAGAGGTGAAAGACAATGAGATGGAAAAACACCATCGATGTCTTTACAACAACGCTGTTCCACCATCTATATAAAACCCAGAGGATCACCATCGTGCCTGACATTATTTCGCTACGAAGTCTCGAGAAACGACGTGTCCAAAATGATCGTCACCGGAAATTTCGTTAGACGCACAACTACTATCTGCATCTTGGCTATGCTGCTCTGCTTGGGGTCTCGCGCTTCCGGTGAATACGGTAATACCGAGTTTTGCGTACGCAGTCATTAAAGTCTCGATTGGTTTTATTAATTGTGCGTTCGTAGAAGCAAGGGAAATGGGCTTGAACGGCGGATCAAACGACGGCTCGTGTATCGAAGGCAAGTGTATGAAACGTACCACGCAGGACATCACCAGCGGTATGTGGTTCGGACCGCGGTTAGGAAAACGACGCAGATCGGATGAGAAACAGGAAGTGAGTCCCGAGATAGAAGTTCTGGCGAATGCGTTGGACGGTGTGCGTTGGGCAGTCATCACGATTCCCGGTGAGAATTAATTGAAATCTTTTCAAGTAATTCGTCGCTACAGACATTATTATGACTTGAACTTGCACATTATTCTGCTAATATAAGAGTACATTCAATAATTCTTTTCTTTCATCGTAATTACATTTAATCGACAGTATTGTCAACTTTTGCTGTAATGTTTAAGTTTTGCATTTGTCTTCCACATAACGAGATTCTTCGAGCAGTATCAAAAAAATTTTTTTACGATAAAATTATATATATAGATATACAATTTTCGAGTTATAAACAATCGTGAAAAATAAAAATGCTCTTGCGAGCTGAAGCTGTCACTATTAGAATATAATTGTTGTTAACCTAATAAATATTTTTTTAATTAATTCTACTCAAACAAAATTTCAGTCTCCTTTTTTTTATCTTTAAATTCTCCCCGTAAACTTGACTAATTAGTATTATCTTATACTCTGACTATTTATATATATATCTTTTATAATGATTTTTTTATAATGATCTTTTTATAATGATTATTGCACGAATTCTTGGACTTTACTTTTATAATTATTTGTTCCTGTAATCACATCTCTCAGATTAAATAGTAAGTCACACATTTTTATTAGTATTTATAATTTGCCAATAATACGGTACCTTTTTATATTCGTTCCAGAAATGAATTGTATAAGATTGCAACAAAATATTCACGCACCTCACTTATTCAGGATCTTTCAATTCTTTAGTGGCTGCATGGATGCATGGATGATGTCTCATATTTTTGAAGAATTGTATTAACGCTGATGATGACTCTAAAAAGAATCGAAACGTCATTTCATTTTTAATGAAATACATGCAATCAATTTTCTGCATTAACATTATTATTTGATTACGTTCCAATAGCTGCGTTACATTCTTATTTGCCCGATTTCTCAGGATCTTCCCGTAAAATTTCGTTTGAAAATTTATCTAGAGAAGAGATATTTCATTTAACATTCTGATGCTTTGAATGACATCATCAAAACTTATTGATTTATCGATTCGCGAATTTCGAGATTCAATATAATCCATATAATTTTCGTCATTAAATATGACTGTCAAAAATAAATTTCAGCTAACGACAAGAGACAACCGTCTCAATTTACACCACGTTTAGGACGAGGATCGAGCGAGGATCTACCCTCCTACGGAGATTCGCACGAAGTCGACGAGGACGACCGTCTGCTACCGCCGATATTTACGGCTCGTTTAGGACGACGGTTTCCTTGGATACCATCGCCGAGACTCGGACGTCAATTGCGCAACGTATTACGAAAATTATAGATTTAATTCCGATGAAAGATAAAAGATCATTAAAAATTGAAGAATAAAGTAGATTTGCGCGATTGTGCAGATCTGACGAAACGACAACCACAGCACTATTATATGTAAGATATAGAGAAATAAAGTACATATATATATTTGTATTGCGAAACTAACTATTATTCTTTTTCTTGCATTTTGTGAAATTATAATTATGTAAAAATACTCTACTCTTTAAAAGTGAATCAACGTATTGTTTATTACTTTATTACTGACTTCGGTGTTACACTTATAACTGATAAAATCATCAGCGAATATTTATTGTTTTTTGATATAATAGACTGATTCACTTTTAGAGAGTATTGATGCTCATTAAAAAGTCCATCACGTAATTTAAAAATTTTTCTCTTTTCTTTTATCATTATTACAGTATAAAGATTATTTTATAAATAAAATGTAAAAACCCAATTAGATTAAAGAGTAAAAAATGTATATTTCAATAAGTAAAAGAATGCATAAGTAACACATAGCGCTTTGCAAAGCATTAAGAAAGCGCTTTTTAGCTTTGCAGACGCTGTTGTGCTACTTAGATGGATTGAAATGGTTTAAAGAAGATTCACATTTTTAGAAATACACGTTCGCGAACGTTAAAATAAAGTCTTTTCAATCCAAATGAATTTTTATTTGTTTATAGGAATTTTAAGCACATTTCTGTACCTTCAAATAAAAATAATATTAACTTTTTCTGTATATCGTGTATACTGCTCAATTCAAAATGCAGAATAAGAAATGCAGTTTTTCAATCCAATTAAATCCAATTGAATAAAAAAAGAACTTTTTCTATTGATTGGATTTAATGGAACAGAATAATGAGAACTAGATAAGACTAAAAAAAGATTCATAGCAGTAATATTACAGTAATATTTTTATTTTCCATTGCAATATAATAGCAACATTATGGAAATATTACTGAGATATCACAGTAATACTAAATGTGAAAATATGAATCACAGAAATATTACTGTGATATATCACAGTTATATTACTATAATATCATACAATATTTCTTCACTGTAATATTATGTGATATTTATATATAATATTTATATTTATGTAATATTTATTGCAAATAATTAAATCAGTTTAATGAATGTTTTAAAAAATTATTAAATTGATATTTTTAATGTTATTTTAAGAATTGTTCCATGTGATATTAATTAGAAAACAATTCTGATTGTCAATACAATAACTATCAAATTATTTAAATTAAAAGTTATGATCGCCGTTCATTATTTATTTAATTATTATAGAAAAGACTATTCCCAAAATAAATTTTATGGAATTAAGGACATTTAACCTTTTAACAACCTTTTTAGTGAATATAATAACAATGAAAACAAAGAATTCCGCAGCATGCGATTATTTTGAAGTTATACAATAGCAATTTGTAGAAATTTATATAATAAATGAATGCAGTTCAACCGTACTTATAACATTCAATAAAATGTAAATTTAATTTCCTTATCATATCGTTAATGTTAAGAAATGCACTGTTTATTTGACAATTATAATAATACATGTACACTACACATACCTAACGTGACTACACATGAATCATTTGGATATTCTCGTCATCTCTTGCATGTGTTCATACTTCCTTATAAATTTTCAGAGTATTCAAAGTACTAAAACTCGAAGTATTCATATTATAATAAATTTTTGAGGAATACTTGAAGACAAAGTCTCTCTGCAGAATAAATTAAAACTGCAATTATTATTTAAAAATATTAAGAACTAACAAACACGCAAAAATATTTTCTTCTTGGTACGATCAACAATTCCAACATGATATTAAAGGAAAGTCTAGAATAGTGTATCTATTGTAAGATTGTACAAGGATGTACATGAAAGAAGATAGCCGCTATTTTCAGCGTCTTGAAAAGGGTTGAAATATCTCTCTCAAGAGGAAGCAGGATGGCGGAAGAAAGAAGAGGCAAGGTGCCGAACTACAGAGAGTAATTTCTCGACCGGAACTACTGGCGAGCCATGTGGCAACGTAGAAGACGATCATAATCGTAAAACAGCAAGGCAGAGCAGATACAAGTTAGCTTCTAGTTCCCGCGCTTTACAACGGTACCACATATCGAGGATTGCTCGTAAAACGCGTAAAAAAAAATGCTTTCGATGATAGCTTCAGAATATTAACGCTAATCGTGGCGACACGTTATACAAGATGTTCGTAGATAAATACCTTTTCAAGATTAGTCAAAGAGAAATTCTTTGATTAATCTTCAAATTAGTTTTTCCAGAAAAATGATCTTCATAAAAACCATTATAAACAAATCGTTATTTAAATATAAACATCAGTAAGACTCCATTCATTCTTTAAATTGGTTATCGACATATTTAACAAATTAAGAAATTACATTTTGCAATAAAAAATCTTTCATTTTCAAAACACATATTAGTAATATTAATTATTTTAATATTTAATATAACAATAGTAAATACGTTTATCACAGACAAAATAATAAACTTTGTATTTTTTATCAAAATTAGTACTGAAGATATTGCTCCTTAATTAAATAAAATAGAACAATAAGTAATTACAATTATATAAAATTATCTATGAACTGGATTTATAAAAAAAAACTTTTAATTTTTTAAAATAACATTCTTGGTAGGACTATGATTTATTATAACGACTGTTGACATAACAAAATAAAATTCGAAGAACTTTTGGAACGATTGCTTATACGTAAGCATGGTCATACTAAATCATGACAGATAAATAAACAATTGCTCATGCAAAGATTATCATGCACGTCAGCCACGTGACGTTAAAGCATGGAAAAAGCATTGAAATCTGTAAAATTATGAATTCATTTCTATATTCTGCAAACAGTATGTTCCTCTAGAAATGTATACTATTCATATGTTAAACGTTGCAGTTTTGCATTAAATGTAAATATGTAAACACGATTCCTTTAGACATGTTTACCGTACTGTAGCTTCAAATTCACTAAAATTATATTGATTGTTTTATTAAATAATCTTAAAGTAATAAATCATTTTATTTTTTTATTAAGAATATAAATAAAAAATTGGGAATCACATAATTCCACAAAGCTTAATAGTTTAAAAAATAAAACAAATTAAATACAAACATAGCAATAAACTAAATATAAAATAATAAAAATATAAAATAAACTTTGGCCTCACTCACCTAGAATTTTAGATTTCAAGTTCAAATCCAACCAGTAAAGTACAGGGGTAATTTGAATAATTTCATCTGTAAATTGAATATAAAACAGGAAACTCACATATTTAAGGAATATTTACTCAACATGAAAGATTCTTTAAATTTTGAAGTGCAACGTCATTTTTCGATTTGTACAATTTTACTGAAAATCAATTTTCAGGGACAATTTACATAAGAGGTAATTTGAGTAACATTGAAAATGAATATTGCAATAAAAACTTATAAAAATGTTTCATCGCCAGTCCGTTTTTAGTTCGTGCAAACAGTTCTAATTTGAGTAGCGAAAACGCGTATTTCATTCAATGAGTACGACTTCGATTTTTTAAGTAATTAATATCAATTAACAAGAACTTTTCCATAAAAACGAATGGTAAAATCGATTGCATACGACTATATGAGTATATGCGAGTTGTAATAATGTATGAAGAGTATTTTTGAGTGGTAAAAACGTGCTGTGTAAATTTGAAGTGTGTGCATTAAACATATATATATATATATATATAGAAGCAAAATATAATATTCATTCAACATTCATATTGTATGCGTATTTTGAAATGATATGATTCGAATACCTAAAGCGTAATCGATAGCACAAGAAAATCAGCTCGCTCCGCTGGAATTCGAATCGAAGTCTGATATCCCGAGTCTGGTACGCAATTGACATGGCTATGTTTCAAAATTGACTACCTGTACTGAAAATCTATAATGCATGTAACGTAAACTGTAACATTTTTAGCGCTGATAGTCAATTTGAAAAAAATTGAAACACAGTCATTTGTTATGCTTAGAGCCAGTCTCGCCAACTTCGATTAATCACTTAGATCGACCGATTAAATTTCAGCACTGCCAACTGCAAAACTGAAAACATAATATTGATATGGTGAAAAACCAAGGACTATTTAATAATTATTTTTGCCGCGTGTATAGTAACAAAGTACATCATTAATGCATAATAAAGTACAAAATTAATTATTTTAATTATCTTAATGTCACATGTCTTTTTTTTCGGCAGAAGGTTGTGTTTTCAGTTTTGTGATTTTCTTAAGCTGTTGATACTTCATAAATCTAGTGACTTTATGGCAGTGATGGCAATATTTGTACATGCGAAGGCCCTTTTACATCACGAGTTTATATAACTACGAAAGTACTCAAAGTACAAATAGTACAATTGTCGTTCAGATTCGATTACATAATGAAAGATATGAGGAATTTTGCAAATGACTTTACCAAAACAAAGATATGAATTACAAATCGCTGGCAGCACACAATGCCGCTTGTAACAAGATATATCGCCAATTTCAGGATTGTGAGACTGAGGTAATATCACTCGTCAATTTTATAGTGTACCTTCTCAACAATTCTGTATATACTTGCAGCATCCATATCGAAGGTTAGTGGGTTACTGCGAACCGATTCACCAAGCTATGATCAAATGCATAAAGGAACAAGTAAGTCATCCCCGATTTCACTCCAAAATTGATTTAATCCCGCCGTTTATTTCAGAGAGAAATTCATAGGACAAAAAGCGCACATTTCCTACGAAACAGATTAAAGACTATGGAACCGGCACAATCAGAAAATAGCAACGATTAGTCGTGAACTACAAAAATAATTCAACTAATAATTTGATTATTCTATTGAAATCTGTATGTGTTACTTGTGATAACTCTAGATTAAATCAATTCGAATTGTATATACTCTTGTATGTGCTAGTACATACTTTTAACAATCAAACATGAATTTGGAATCAGAGGTTGATGAGCCAAAAACTAAACGATTGAAATCTGAAAACGATTATGGAAAGAAATCATGTAAGAAGGAAGAAGATAATATGCAAGAAAATGCAGTTAAAGATATTGCTGATGGAAGAGAAATTTCTCTTCAAGAACAGGAGCATGATGAATTAGTAGATAGTAATAAGGAGACATTAACAATTATTGATAGTGATAAGGAGATATCGGCAATTGTTGATAGCGATGATGAGTCATTTACATTTCCTCCTGACGAGAATGTCTCGGACATGCTGGATGAAGTACAATATAGTGGTAGTTTTCCTACTGTTACTGATCGTTATTTTACCCCTTATTACAAAATGGATGCGCAATCACTAGGAAATGATACGTGTATATGGATTCATAGTAATCGTATTTGTATGCTGTCCTTGGCACCTAGTCACATCATTTTGCAAGACAACAAAGATATACAGAAAGTTAACTTTAAAGTTAGCGATAAATTGGATAGATCTCTGAATAAAGTCTCGGGTAAAAGTAAGCATGGTGCACAACCATTGCAGACTAATTCGAATATCTGTACTATATTATGCAAGGATGGACAAACGTATGTTATTAAATGCTATATAGTCGGAAAGTTAGTCGAAGTTAACGAGGCATTGTCAGAAAACCCGCAACTTCTCAAGAAACTCCCACATAAAGGTGGATACTTGGCTATAATATTACCGAATATAAAATTTTTGGAAAATTTCAAACAATCTGTGTCAACATTAACTCATGACAAATATATTAAACATATTAAGGAAAAAGAAAATAAGCAGCAATAATATATAAATAAAGAAAATTTCAATTTATAGTTATTATTAAGAAAATGACTTGGTTAAGAATTTCATAACAGAGATTAATAAGAAACGAGATGGCTATTGTAAGAATTATTAATAATAATTGAGATTCTAGACATATGATTTTCTTGTTTCAATGTCTCTTTATTTCATTTTACTTTAAAATAATTTATTATGAATATTATCACAAGCACGATAATAGATTTTATTACATAATGAAAAGTTTTTCTATCTATAACTAAAAATTTATCACAATTTGCTCTACTTTATAATATTAATTTTCTTCAGTTCTGAGAAATTTTCTTATTTTATAACTTTGAAAATGATTAAACTATATTGATATTGCGATTGCATAAAAAATATATTTAATTTATATTAATATCTATTCTAATTAAATATGAAATTTTAATTGAAATTATTTAATTGAAATTATAGCGTTTGAAAATTTTAACGTATGAATTAAGTAGAATTTATTTTTATAAAACATCTATCTTGTTTCATCCAATTTTATTTTACATAATTAAAAAGTGCTATTTTAAAATTCTTACTGAATTATAAATTATGGCTATTTTTTATTTCATCCAGTACAATATTTTGATGGCTTGTTTCTTTGACTTCATTCTCTTTTTCTAGTATTGATTTTTTCATTAAGTTTCCTAACACAATTCCAATAAATAATATCATGCCTAGATTTTGATTCGACATGAATTTTTTGAAACAATCCGTAGGATTATTAATGTTTAGAGTATATATCTGAAAAGAAAGAAATAATTTTATTCGGATGTAATTATATAAAATTAATAATTCATAATTTTTTAACCTGGTTGTTAATATGTGCTGCAATTAATCCAATGGTAGTATAATAAGGCCAGGTTTGAGTAGTTAATATACCGGAAGTAATTAAACTAGCAATCATTACTATTCCAAAACCAGACAAATAAAATTTTGTGTCTTCTCCAAATTTTATGGCGGTCGACTTTATACCTATCCGAATATCATCCAATCTATCCTAATATACAAAAAGAAATTGATGAGCGATGTAAGATTACATTTCTATTGTACTTTTCATTTTTTTTATAATATTTACTTGATGAGCATATATCGTATCATACAGAATAGTCCAGCAAATACCAGCTACATAAAGTGGCAAACAGATCGACCAATTACATGATCCATGTATAGCTGACCATCCTAATAAAGCACCCCAATTAAAAGTCATTCCCAAAATTAATTGTGGCCAGTACGTTACTCGTTTCATGAGGGGATATATTATTACTAGACCTAAAAGGAAAGATCAAGATGTATTACATCAAATATTAATTTAATTCATTTTAAATATAAAATTATAAATAAACATACAGTACCTAGTGAGCTGGCACCAAGAAATATGCTATACCAATTTAATTGTAATAATATAAGCAATCCTAGACTCAACTGTCCAACTAGAAATATTAGTGATTGTTTTAGCGTTATTTGACCTGTTACCAAAGGTCTATCCTTCGTTCTCACTACCTAGGATAATAAGCTGTATAAAAAGTGATATCCAAAACACAAAGTTAAAACGTTACGGAAGATTGTACCATTTTGTCAATGTCCTGATCCCACATATCATTTATAATGCATCCTGCACCACGCATTACAAATGCACCCATACCGAAAAGTGTTAACATATAGAGATCTGGTAAGGTACTGGCAGGAGCCGCCAATGCAATACTCCATCCACAAGGCCAAAATAGCAGCCAGCTTCCTAACAAAAAATTTAGAAAAGAATTGAAGTGCAATAATTATTTATTAATTATAATAAATAATTAAGTAATCAAGTTTTACCTGTTGGTTTATCTATCCTCATAAGCTTCATGTATGGTTGCACTTTAGGCGAGGCATTATTGACTAGCTTTGCAGCAATGCTTAAACATCTATTTTGTTGTAAACTTACTAACTTGACATGAGCCGATATATTTTCTACCCTCAACAAAGAATAGGCATTCCTCTGTATATTGGGATTCGTTTCATTCTTGTATTTATTACATTGCATTGCGGAGGAACTATAAACCTTTGTACATGACTTAAAATTCATGGCTGTGTAGTTTAATAGCTTGAGGTTGGAATATGTGTTCTGAGGTAATGATCTCAAAACTCCAGTGAACCAGCGGCAACTTTTTATAATTATCATCGTTTTTACTTCTATAAAGATATTGTAAGCTTAAGTAATAAATTTAATCTAAGTATTTTATATTTTTGTCATGCAATTTAATACAAAATATTTCAATTTTTTTAAAACAAATACAAATGTGTTAAGAAAATAATGTAGAACATATAAAAAATCATATTCAAATAAAAAATCGACTTATCTATCAAGTAAAATTAAATTATAATCTTTATATGGTATAGAATTTATCTTCAAACCAATTGACATAATTGATGAAATATCATCAATGAGATTATCCGATATAGAAACTTGCAAGGCGTATATTTTACTCATATGAAATAAAAAATATATTATTGTTAAAAAACGACACGTAATTGACACGATCATTACGTACGTCTCGCATTCCGATAAATTCAATTGGCGCGAAATATTACTGTGTACCCTGATATATTTGTAAGCACTCTTAAAGACAGACCTGTGTTTGATTTTGATACTACGTAATTTTGATATTACGTAATAATTAATTGTATGTACAACATTATCACATTACTATTTTCATCACTTTGGTAGCTTTGTCCCTTAATCCTTATGTTGTGCCGAAATAATATCTAATAGTCACAGCTTGTAGATTCTTGCATGACGCATAAGATAATCAACCAATTGAAATTTTTTTTTCCATGGAATAGGAGGAAAGCAAAGATTTTGATTAGTTGATTCGTTTATACACTATACGTTATGCAAAAGTTGTGTTGCGGCCTGAGTGATTCTGACATTGGCCTAATTTCCACCGAAGGTTTAGGATACGATCAACGCGATGCTACTGTTTTGAAGTGTTTTTTAATTGGTTAGTTTGTAAAATTTTTTCTTTTAATTGGTCGATCAAATGCTTCGAAGCATTTGTAGTGAGACACAGCCTTAATCAGTTAGATCGGATTTCAGACGCATGCGCATCCAATGTAGCTTCAGTAACGTACCGGTTACTAGTAAATAGAAGATCATTAGTCGCCTATGTAAAATTTTTTCAAAAATGTGAAAATTTTAATTATATTTTACATATACTAGTCTAATATTTATATATCTGTATATTAGTTGCTTGTCAATTAGTTGCTTATCGAGCACAATAATTTGTAAAATAAATGTTAAAAATATAAAGAAATTTTATTTCGTTTTCTTTACATACTAGAGTATCGTTTTATCATTTATAAGAGATTTAATATCAGTACTGACGTAAAGTTATAAACCTATAAAAAAGAAGTATTATAAAAACAAAAATTTAAAATACAATTACACACATGATGACAACATTGTCTTTTATGTAATAGACAAGAAGTATCACATATTAACAATAAACATGATAACAAAGAATAGGAAGACTGAACAACATTGTATTTATTAAGAGCTTACATTATTCACATTTATATATTTACAATTATTTACTTGTAACTACATTAATATAGACTACGCAATCATTTTATTACTGCAGTAATAAAAAACATAATCTTAATGATGACTATAGCAATCGATCATATCATTCATAATTAAATAGTTACTGTTTAAGATAAAATTAAACCAGATTTAAGATGATGGCACATTCACTACTTCGGATGTAGAACTCTGCGTATCCATAGATTTTTCTTGCAATTCTAACCATGGTAATCGTTTTTGCAGTTCTAGTCTGTTGCAGAATAATATTCATGAAGTGATTATTCTGAATTAATTTTAACAATATTAAAAAAATTGGGTAAATATTTAGTAATAGGGACATTAGGGACCATCCTCCAATGACCTTGACTTGACATATATTTTACTCGCCACTCGAGTTGCCATATAAAATTTGATGGTGGCTCAAAGTCTCTTCGCCTCTCGAGTTCGAAGGATTAGAGCATTTGTGTTTTTAAAGTACAAAATGTATGCTTTGAAGTAGAGAAATAGTGTTTTTTAGAGTAGAGAATTTTTTCGGAAAAGAATCGTATTCAAAAGTTACAACATGTCAAGGTCATTAGAGGATGATCTTTATTACCAAATATTTATCAAAAATGGATCTATTAATGCAGCTATTGTAAATTAAAAACAAGAAATTAAATAAATGTGAATTTATTATTGTACGGGATGTTCCCGGATTAAATCCTCAAACTTAAAATTTGATCTTTAAAATTCCAAAACAAAATTTTCCTCTGGAAGTTTGTTTGCAAACGTTTCGTTTGAAACATATTGATTCCTTTAAGTTATCAAAATATAAAAATGGAATAATGTTGAAATATCTCTTAGTTACACTCAGTAAAAGGGAACACTTCATAAATGTTTAGAGTAAGGATTAGTGAAGTGCAGCAAGGGTAAGTGGTAATGTTCATGGATATGTAAGAATACACTGATCAAAATGTTCTGAGGTGTAAGATATTTAAAGTGGTGATGGGAAGAGATATATGTAGATGGATAAGGATGTGATAGGCCATTTTGAGAGGTGTTTAAACGAATTCTACTAGAAATTAATTCCTCATAAGATATGTAAGAGGATGTTTTACCATCTGACATTATAATCATAAGCTGCAGTAATAGATCAAATATAATTATCTTATGATAATTATCTTATGTAATAAAAAAGGAATAAAAATAGAATTCTTCACTTTTGTCTACCTGTATCTTGGGTGACTTATGGCATACACATATGGATCCAAACAGGCCACAAATTTACATGTGCATGCCGGTATCATTGTGATACCAGGAGTTAATAATGTCTTGTCTCCAAAAGCACCGATCATCGCGAGAACTCCATATGGAGTCCACGAGAGAACAAAGAGGAAGCATACTGTTATTGCAGCCTATAAAAAAGTTAACACATGTCATAAATTCTTTAAACACATGTGATTTAATGTATATGATGAATATATATGTAACAATAATTAATGATAAGTCGACGTGTTGCTTGCTCTTGTATCACTTATTCATTTTCTCATTTTGATGTTTACATA